AATGCCAGAAGTGGGGAATTAGAGGTCACCAGGTCTAGAACTGACAGAAAGTGGGTGTTGGGAGAGAGAGAGACCCTGGTAGCCTGAGGTGAATGGAGCTTGAAAAAGTGGTAATTGCAAATGCTCATGTGGTGATTTCCTTTTCTGAGAGGGCATGCTAAAGAGAAGTTTGGAGTCTTCATGCACACTCTTTGCATTCCTCCTGGAAACACCTGGGGAAATGTGTAGAGGTGAGGACACTTTAAAGGAAAGGAAGGAGAAGATGGAAGCAGGAGTATGTGTGGGATGAGAGGAGTGTACAAAGGCAGAGATGCTAAGGCTCAGTCCACAATTATTAGTGGAGTGGACTTGGAAAGGACTCTAGTTGAAAATTCAGTTTGGAGATACAACCTGATATGCATATTTATTCTGGAAGAACAGCTATTAGCAAAGAAAAATAGAGATTCTGCCCTTAGTCTTTCAGGAGCTGCTTACTTAGAATGTAGGCATAGCTGCTCCAAGGGCACTGAAGCTTTGCCTGAGGAAAAACTCAGAGCCCAGATGTTGCTTTAACTGGAGTATTTTGCCATGCTCATTTGCAGTGACAAGATTCCTATGAGTTGTCCCTGTGCCTGATACTTAACTCTTAATGTAACTAATTTGTGTTGCTCAAATTTCACAGATAAAATGTGAGAAATCTGTTTTTCTCTGCAGCATCCCCCTCCTTTTTGGCTTTGTGTGCGTTCTCTGTCCCTCTCCCCTGCCAGTTCCAGTAATCCAGGCGTTTATATGCCTCATTAAGCACATCGCACTCTCTGCAGTGTCAATGTAATCAAGTCCAGTGTCTTCCTTCTGTGCACTCCAAGGACAGAGGGATTGGGCCTCTTGCTCAAGGCCCAGAGGAAGCAAAGTGAGTTGGCATGTTGAGGGAAAGAAACAGAGTGGTAAGCAAGCTGATTCCAGCCACCCCTTTTTTTTGCACATAGTTCTGGCAAGATTTGAAGGTGCCAGGGCTCTAGGTGGGCCGACAATGGCTGAACACACTCAATAAAGCTAAGGAACACTTGGAGCAAGCTCCTTATCAAGAGTACAGGGGGCATGCCATCATCTCCAAGGTTATGGATCGCAGCTATGGAGGTCTGTCCCTCGTCCTGCATCCTTAGTGCTTCTCACTCAGGGAAGATATCTAAAAACCTAAAGGTAAATTGGGTGTTCTTGTTGTTATATTTCAAAAACAACTGAGAAACAAACAGTGTGAAGGCTTGTCTATCAGGGTCAGACCAGAATTCAGTCCTTCTCTCTATAGAAGCTGGTCTTTTCTCTGCATTCTGTTGCCTCTGCACAACCTTTGGTTGCCTGGGGCTGAGGAAAGTGGGTGTCTAATTCGATACTTGAGCTGAATTCTACCTGGGCAACAGTCCTGTCTCTGTGGCTCTGTGCCAGATAATAATTGGTGTGATGAGGAAGAAGTGCTTCATGCAGATGCCAACCACTGGCTGATTTTTGGTGATCACCCACATGCTGTGTTGCTATTCACTTTTCCTAATCATTTCCTGTTTCAACCCATTCACCCACCCATTGTTGCCATAATCTTCTATATTTTTTGTTCCTTTGAAATTGTTTTTGTCCTATTTTTTTATTTTTTCTTTGCACGTAGGTGAAGAAATATACAAAGGGTATGTATGAGGGAAGCATGTTTTGCTGGAACCTATAGGGACATAGTTCAAGGGGCTTCTCAAAATATGGACTTACAGATTGTGAGGTAAATACAAATGAATACCTGGAAATAGTGTGTGTGTGTTTAGATAGTATGAACATATGAATTTTAAATGTAAAACTTGTCTTTTCACAGAATGAGTAGATTAGAGAAGGGAGAATTTTGCACAAGAGTACAATCCAAGCAAATGGCTTATTTGTATGGGGTTCCATCCAGATCATCTACCATATCCATGATGGGTTGCCAAGTGTTAAGAATTAGTTTGGAAGTGTAGTAAAGCCCTCAGGTACTGAAATTAGAGTGTATGGTTGAAAATCACAGCTCATGTGCTTATAAATCAGTGAGATTGAGTTATCTTCCTCACCTCTCAATTTCCTGTGTACAAAATCTGGATAAATATGGTATTTATAGACTCATTCAGTGAGACAAACCATGTAAAATAGTTAGTTCAGTGGTGCTATACATAGTAAGTAGTTTGTGGCTATCATTAGCTGTAATTGTGAGGCACTGAGCACTTGGATGAACAATCATGGTCAGCAGAAAGGTGGGCTGGCTGGACACTATTACTCTGATCTTGTGCTGCATCTACTGCTACTCAATCCTAGCATGAGAGAATTAGTACGTGTGAGTTCCACAGAAGACATTTTACACAGAAGGCTTTTACTGATGCAAATACCAGGCCATCTGAGACTGACTTTCTTCAAGTCACTCAGCCAGCAAACAGCAGAGCCTGATCTTAAAGACTCTCTGAGAACTATTTCCCTATATCATCCTGTCACATTTCATTCCTGGCCACTGAACTTTGGGCATCAGGAGCACAACTTTTTTTATTTTAGCATATTCGTGCATTCTTTCAGTCACAAAACTTTCTTGACCAGCTACTGTGTGTGTTGGATTCTAGGGATCAAGCCAGATATGGTCCCTAGTTCATGAAGCTTATAAGCTAAACGGGAAGAAGGACTTTAATTGAATACAATAGTTAAAACAAAAGCAAAAGTGCAAGGAGAGGATTATGCCCCAGAAACAAGGAGCCTATCTGTCATATCTCTACTGTATATCATAAACAGTGACCTGCTCATGACAGGGACTGAGTATATATTTGTCAAAGAAGGCTAACCAACACACAGTGAGTACAGAAGGCAGAAACAAAGTATGGGAGTGTGTACAGTGGGGGAAACTGATTTAAGAAAGGTCAGGGAAGGCTTTCCTCAGGAACAGATGATGACAGGTAAGTGGATCCTATCAGGTGAAGTGAGACAGAGTGAACATTAGGGACTGGAGTGTGCTGTAACTGAAGGTCAAAGGAGATGGAAGATAGGAAAGCAGGTACAGGAATGGAAGCAGAGATAGCATGAGCCATGACAGAGAGGCACATACCAAGGGGATTCCCAGTACCTAGCAAGTATGCAACAGTTTTCAGTTGGCCACATCTTATGAGTATTATCCTACTGACATTTCATAGTGACACTCTTTTATAAGCAGGCCAAGAGAGCATCATCCCAGTTTCAGCTCTACAAACTGAGACCTACAGTCTTTGTGTGCTGTCAAAGTCACACACCTATTTTGGGGTGCCCTCATTTACCCACCTCATCAGCCTTTTAAAGCAAGCATTAAAATCCCAATGGTATATATGAGGTAAGAAATCTTCATCAAGTATGCAACTGACATGTGGCTGAACTGAGATGTAAATCTATGTCTTTGCTACAAACTGAATTTCATCCATCCCTCCAGAATTCTTAGGTTGAGCCTCTAACACTCAGTGTGATTGTATTAGGAGATGGAGCATATAAGGAGGTGTTTTAGGTTAAGTGAAGTCATTGGAAAAACCCTGATCCAATACTATTAGTATCCTTATAAGAAAAGACACTAGTAAGTTTCTCTCCACTCCTATTCCCTCATAAAAACTCATCAGAAAGGCTACATAAGGAAACAACAACAGGTGACAAGCCACGAAGCAAGCCCTTACTCAAATGGAACTGACCGGACTCACATCTTGGATTTCTAGCCTCTAGAAATATTAAAAAAAAAAAGTGGTCTGTAATTTAAGTCACCCAATATGTGTCATTTTATTACAGCAGCCTGAGAAGATTCATATGGTCTTAGTATACATTGGCTATTGTTATCTGCTATGACACATCTCTTTCCTTAACAGCAGAGAGAGACGAGAATTCAAGTCGTCTGGTTGTCGGTCCTAGGCCCTTCCATTGTCTGTTTTCTCTGCTACTGACAACCTTACGAACTGAAGACGTAAGTTAAGTCAAAGGCAGGACAGCACCCTAATTCTGCTCTTTACCTGCAGTGTCCTCAAGACTAAGGGATGTACAGGATGTAATTAAGGTGTGACAGGCTATGTTAGTCTGTGATTGCCCTGGATACAGAGTTGTGAGAAGTGACAGTTGCAGAGCTGATTTTAGGTCTCTAAAATTCAAATGTTATCACTTTCCAAGTGATAAGCCCTACTTAGAAAAGTAGGGCTTTGAGTTTTCCATCTCTGGAAGAAGAGCTGGGCATTAACTGCTGCCTTTTCCAAACATACAATGTGTGTGTGTGTGTGTGTGTGTGCAAATGTGTATGTGTGTATGTGTGTGTGTGTGTGTGTGTGTGTGTGTTTCTCTCTCCCCCCAATTATCATTGCTGGGTAAATATTCAAGTACTTAATAAAGGATCCGAGTTTTACATCTGATTTTGTGCCTATTCATTAGCTACAGTCTTTAGTGTCACACAACCTCTTTGGTCCTCCTTTTTCTTATCTGTAAAATGGTGTTAATAACCTGTTTTATGCTACTGGCTTGATGCTTAAAAACTAGTAAATATTTGGCAAATAGTAGGTATAATATTCATATACTTCTATTTTAAAATAAAATTTTATAACTAAGTCAGTATCACTCTTGGCTTTGGGCTAAAAGAATGAAACATTCATACTAGGGTGACTTCTCCTTAAAGACAGTCATCTAATAATCCATTTGGCTGGGTTCCTCTTGATACTTCTGTATGCAGAAATACTCCTTCTTGTTAGAGGCAACCAAGTAGAAGTTTATTATTTGGGGGCTGAAACCACTTCCCCTGAGATTTATAATGATATTCTACAGCTGTGTGTGTGTGTGTGTGTGTGTGTGTGTGTGAAAGCCATCCTATTCTATATGCTTGTTATCTAAACTGTGCAAACCATACCCCTTGAAGTCTATCCACTATGGAGAAATACATCAGGGAGGGGGAGCAGGCAAGCCTATCTTTGAAGAAGGCTTATATACAAAAGCATAAGCATTCAGGCAGGCAGAGGAAGGAAGGAACATGCTGTACCCACCTGCCACTGCTGATGAGGGGCTTATTTCTAAGACACACACAGCACAATGCACACACAATGCAGAGAGAAAACAAAGACATAGATCACACATTTCAGATGGTTGGTGGACAAAGTTTAGTTCATCTCAATGCTGAAAGCTTGTTCAGGGTCTGAGATGCACATGGAAATATGGATCCCTCCTCATCCTACTTACTGGATGCTTCCCTCTAACTAAACCACAGCAAATAAACACATACATACACAAGTAAAAAAAATGAAAAAAAGAAAGAAAAAAAACTACACACACACACACACACAAATAAGCTGGCCCTGGCCCATGGTGTGAAATGTTGGACAAGAATATGCACAGAGCAGGGTGGGAATATGGAGTGAAGAAAGGAAAGGGCTTCTAGAAGGCCAGTCATGGCTCCTGAGACCTAGTTCCTCTGAAGTACTTCTGTCCTATGGGAGAAACGACTTCAGAGGAGGGCCTCATGCTGGAGTTGTGAATAGAGCAGTCATCTGGTAAGGACTCAGACCTCTGCTCCATTCATCTCAGTGAATGAGAATATGGCACAGCAATCAACATGAGAATCAAGATGGCAGCAGTTGACTTAGTTTAACACCATAAATGAAAACTCCAGAATCACAGACTTTTATTGTAGAAGGTATAGGATCTTAAAATTATATCTGGTTCATCCATGCGGAACTTAACAAGGTAGTACAGTTGAACTGTCTGTGGTTGTCTTCTTTATGGGTTCCACATTCAAATGGATTCGAAATTTGGTTTAGTCCTTTAAAAAGGAACAAACTTTGCCTTTCAATGATCAGGAGAATGAATTACTTTGCAAACATCACTGTATCACATGCCAGGGAAATGACAGGGAGAAGGAGTTCTTAGCTAAGGGTGGTGATTTGAGTAGTATGGATGGACACAAGCCAAGCAGATCATGTTGTCCTCCCTCCTGGGTCCCTGGAGCTCCCCCATGTGGCTGAGCCCACTGCATCCAGGCGTTCTGCACTCACCATACAATGTGATGCTGGCATTGGTATTCCCAAGCTTGTTTGTGGCCACACAAGTGTAGTTTCCATAATCCTTCTCTGAGACATTGAAGAAAGTCAGAGTGGATATGCGTCCTTTGTTCTCAATCCTCACTCCATCCAGGCCAGTGGCTAATCTGAAATAAGAGAAGGTACTGCTGGTCTGGTCCCACCAAAGGAAGGAAACAGCAGTGGGCACTGAGAGAATGCAAAGACCTCATAGATTAATTCTGTAAAGAGGCTTTCTTTCCCCAAACCGTTTTCTCCTCCAACTCAAACCCTAAGTACCACAGACTCCACCAAGAGGAAAAACGAAAGGATAAGCACACTCAGCACTCAAAATGTTTTGATTTCTAGTCATCAGAGACTACCACATCTAAAACTCATCTCAGATTCTGAAACGAGATCAGTTCATTTTGTCTCTTTCCAGCTTTACTTCCTTTTTATTCTCCCAGTTCTAAACAGAGACTCTGTCACTAAGGAGGCTGTAACACATTTTGGTTTTTGCCTTATCTTTCTCCTGTACTTTATCATCTTCCTTCCATGTGAGGAAGGGTCCATCAGCTCTGCTTTAGAGCTGCCCTAGTTCAGAGGTACCTGGTGTCTTCCTTGAACCACTGGAATTCAGCCATGGGGACCGCAGAGGCTTCACAGCTCAGGATGCCCTTCTGGCCAACGGAAACACCAGTATTCTTGGCTTTTGAGATATAGGGAGGGTCTGTGGACAAAATAAACAAGGAAACAAACAACAAAACCATACAGAGTGATTCCAGTGAAAGATGAGAGGCATGTCCAGCCATTTGCTGTGTCTGGTGACACAATTCCTTCCCAGTAAAATAACCAGAGAAAGAACTCCCTGTAAGACACAGTGATGACAACAGCATCTTCTTCTGGCCTTCAGACCAAGTCTACATTAGCAGTTGTCTCCACTGGCTGAGAGCTCTGAGGGTCTCGGGAAGATTCCATGGACAGATGGCAATGGAGGCAAGAATGGGGCAAAGCCATCTGTAAAGAATCTTCCTGTTGGCAGCCCCTCGAATGTGGGTCTCTCTGCAAATGGTACTGCCATTCCCTCTTCTCCCCTCATCTCTATTCCCTCTCCTCCCCCCGAATTCTCGGACAGCTGGTCAACTCACAGTTTACAGTGATTTTTACTTTCCGCACATCGGGTGCGGCAACATCATTCAAGGCGCTGCATTCATACTCCCCAGACTGGTCCCGCTTAATGTCAGAGATCTCCAGGTACTCATCCTCACTCACAAAGCCCTGGCCTTCTGGGGAGAAAGAGATAGAAAACAATAGAGAGACGGTTAAACCAGGAACAGAGCCACAGTAGATAGAACAGTTATGGTCGTGACCAGTGGGTTTGAACAGCCCATCAACGATATAGGGAGGGCACTGTGAAGAGAGAAATTCCCTGCCTGAGTCTTGGATCAATGTTCTTTCAGCCAAGTCACTTTAACTTTTTAAAGATATTTGATAAAAAAGGCATATCAACATTTTTCTTATATGTATCATGTATTATGAGGATTAAGGATATACATAATAAATATCCTACCGCATTAAAAAAATTTAGAGAACTGTCATGATGAATAATATTGTAAAACATGTGGAATAGCTTTAATTTATGTTATATGAGCAATATGCTAATTTTGCACTATGTAGAGATGTCTTTATATATAGAACACAAGCTACTAACTACTTCCAGAACAAATAAGTGAATATTTTACATTTTAAGACAAATAAAATAAAAACAACTGGTTTAGTTTCAAACTGAGGTAGAGAATAACTAGTTTGATTGAGGCATTTTACAATTAATATGTATTTTAAAGCATCATGTTGTATGCAATAAATAAATACAATTTTTATTTATCCAACAAAAAATAAAACATTTAAAAACTGGTAAGGAAGAAAGAGTGAAGAATAATTGAATGAGAAAGCACCATGTGACTACTATGTATTAGAGTCTCAATAGCATTTGCAAACATAAATAAATGGTAGTTAGCTTCAAATGATAAATCTGTGGTTACTAAAACAGCCTAGGTATTTTAATACCTGATTTTGAACGCATTTGGGAGTTCTCCTTCTCAAACACTTGTGAAATTTGAAACTCATGATTCAAAATATTTGAGTACTGCAAAATTTGCTTTGCTTTCATCCATCATCACGTGCTCTTGTGACAATCTGGCTTCCTTTCTCATATATCTGCTACTTGGTTCCTTTTGAGCTCAGGGCAATTGAAACTCTTTATAACTTTCCCCAATACCCTATAGGGTTATATTCTTGCCACCGGTGCTTGTTCAACCATATCTAGGACCAGCCCAGGTGTCTGTGGAGAGGAGCTAATGGTGGGGCTGGAACTCAGGTGCTTTGGCACCCTGACTCTGCTACAAGTCCAAGCTTTGAGGACCTCCCACCTCTCACTGTGCCCATATCCCCAGCTCATTTGCTCTTTGGCACTTGGTGACTACCCGTCTCCATCCCCTACCTTAGATCATATCTATCTAGGATGAAAGGTCAGTCTTTGGATGTTGTTGGCAAAGTCATTGCTAAAAGGTATGGTACACCAGGAAAATATTTTTTTCAGGGCTCCTATCTATATAAAAATAGAAGTCATCACCACAAACACTACTTTTCTGTTTTTTTTAAAAAAAATACTTTTAGTTGTAGATAGACATAATACCTTTATTTTTATTTATTTATTTATTTTGTATGTGGTGCTGAGGATAGAACCCAGTGCTTCACATGTGCTAGACAAGCACTTTACCACTGAGCCATGACCACAGTCCCCCATCAGTTCTTTTCTGATGGCTCAATCCCACATAATTTCATGGGGAAATATTACAGTAACCCAAAGGAATTTGTCACACCACCTTTCTAGAACCTGCACCTGGTGACAAGGCTCCAAGAACTACATGGGTATGATGTTCAGAGTCAATGGGGAACCTGGAAGAAACCATGCGAAGAGTGTCTGCCAGGTGCTGAAGAATGTCTGAAGAGTGTCTCCCAAGGGGGATAGAGCGACTCCACACTCCCGACCTAGCATGGGCATGCCTCCCTGAATGTTATCGCTCACCCCACCTATCCCTAGGGGTGGGAGAAGAGCTTAGAACATTTTGCAGAAGAGCATCAGGATGTGGTACCTCCAGGGACCTGAAAGCCGGCCCCATTTGCTGAGATCTCAGGACAGTGTTGCTACTCAAGGACTCCTACCCCAACAGCCATTCTGTTACCAGACTAGATCATATTCAGTCTCCTCAAGGTTAATCAGAGAAATGCAAGCACCTTCTCATCCTTTATTTTTTCCCCCTTGTTTTTCCTCTTAGAATCTCAGAGTTAAGGGGATTCAGAGAGTATTTATTTTGGAAAGTCTAACAAAGATAAAACTTACCTTTCCTTTTGGAACAATGCTGGCTGATCAATGTGAGCATTTTCAAGGATGAAGCAACAATAAAATCAAACACCAAAATGAATTTCCAGTCTCACTTCACTGTTTCTACAATGAATAACAATGGCAGAATGGGAATTCTGGTCTCCTCCTTCTAAGACTCCATTATTCTTTGAAAATATACCATAGAGTATTTGTTAGAAGTAACTGGACCACACTGCATTTACTCCAACAAATGAGCTATCTGCCCTGGACCTGGCAGGAACCTCCGGCAGAGTCACTGTTTCCCCTTCCTTGGGGAGAACAAGAAAGACCCACTCATGCTGCACAGTGGACACTGGCCATATGGATAAAACCTCCCCATAAAGCATCATCCATGCATGCCAATTAATTGAGAAATGTGTGAAAATCAACTGAGAAGTGCTGACTCACATAAAGGCATTGGGTGGCTTCAAAGAAGGAAGAGGCCATGAGCATTTGTATGAGTAGGACAGATCTGGGTCCTTTGTGGAGATTTACCAGACAACATGACCAGTCTCTGGAATGTGGGAACTTATTTTCATTTGCCGCAATGCTGCTTTTATGGGATGGATATGTGACAGCAAAAAAAAGGAAGGAAAAAAAATACATTTCATGCGAAATGGGGATCGTTATGATAATACTACCTCATTAAGCGAGAAAACGAATTTTGTCAAGTTTGTCCGATAAAGTAAGTGCTTCTCAGATTTTAATTTGCATATAAATTCCTCAGGGACTTTTTAGAAGTATAGATTCTGATTCAGTTGGTCTGGAGCAGGGTATGGGATTCTGCATTTCCAGCAAGTGTGCAGGTGCTGCTCATGTTGCTGGGCTGGAGACCATACTGAGCACACACATCATCAGGCAGAACACAGGACTGGACACTGGTTCACTCTTACTCACGCACTCACAATTAGATAGGTCTATGTGGTTGTTTGGATCCTAAATGTCACCTAAAGGCCCACATGGTGGATGCTTGATCCCCGATTAGAACTGTTTAGGAGATGGTAGAAACTCTAAGAGGTGGGACCTGATTGGAGATCAGGAGAGATGTGTCCTCAAAGAGGATAGTGGGATCCTGGCCCCTTTTCCTCTTTCATCTCTCTCTCCCTTTCTGTTTCTTGACTACGAAATTGAGTGGTCTTCCTCTGTCACATGCTCCTACCATGATGTGCTGCCTCACCATAGGAACAAAACCAACAGGGACAACCAATCATGGATAGGACCCTCTAAAAATGGTGAGCCAAAATAACCTTTTTGTCTTAAAAATTTGAGTACCTTGGGTGATTGATCATAGTAACAAGAAGCTGACTAATATAGTCTATAAAGGGCATCTGGTTAAGAAAATACACTGAGCACCCCTCATACTGATATTCCCGTGGAGTTTGCATCTCAAGAGACACACTAATTTAGGAGGTCAGGGCTCAGAAGATACACTGAGGACAGGAATCAAGACATTTGAAAATAAACGTTGTATTGATTCTTTGTGCTTAGAAATAGACAAACAAAATCCCCCATAAACACACACTCCTTTCCTGGAAAATAGGAAAAGGCCCAGCAAAGGAGACTTATATGTTCTTAACTATTTTCAATACTTGGCAAAATATTTGAAGCACAACCAATCTAGGTTGCTAAATGCCTGGAGACCTAGGAGAACAAGAAGCTGAATGCTTGCTCTGTCCTCTCTGGTTCTGGCTGCAGTATAAAATTTTGATTCCATGCTGCAGAGAAGGAGGTAGAAGTCAACCAGTGTTTAAATCCCCTTTGCTAGCTTCCAGGAAGCATTATTGCTAACTATGGAGTTACAGGTAGATATATGGGGCTGGGAGAAACATCTGAGAGAATCACAGGGGATGAAGAAGACAGGAGGAGAAGGAAGAATTTGTTGGAGTGAAGATGGGGAGAATGAAAGCTGGGATAGGCAAGATGGCCCAGGTAGCCACCAGAAGATTCTGGGCACTCATTTAAAAGGGATTATTTTAAAGGCTACAAGACTATAGTGTGTGTGTGTGTGTGTGTACCATGTCTGCCCAGAGCTTCTCCTTATGGTGCAATGTCCTGTAATAAGCCAATAACCCAGAGGTATTATGAACCTGCCCTAAACATCCAGGCATCTCACATAACATGACTGAAAGCAACAGAAAGCTTATTCTGAATGAGTAGCATAAATGCAGGGGGGAAAATGGGGGATGGGATGGTGGTTGCCTTCCAAGGAAAGAGCACTTCAAAAAAAGATAAGTTCAATTCATTATATAAATGAGATTGAGATCTGCAAGGATACAAATAGTGCCATTTATCAGGGGATGTGGGAGGTCAGCCTCTCAGATATAGTATGCATGCGTGGGGGAGGGTGAGCAAACTTGTGGATGCACAGTCACAGAATACAAAGAATATGCAACAACCACAGTCAGGAACTGCTCCGTCTTACAGTGCAGGAGCAGACAGAGAAACTGGGTGAGAAAGAGAAGGCTGCTTTGCTTGCTTGCTGTCCCTGAGGTTATCAGCCGTCATTTAATTGATACCTGTTATGAGCAAGGTGTTGTATTGGACACTTTGGGTGGTGGAGAGATGATTTAGGGAAAAGATCCTTCACCTTGGGGGGTCAGCAATCTCATGAATCCAGATCTTGAAGCAGTTTGTGTGTTTTGGTATTAGGTTCAATATTTCAGTTCTTTTTCACTTCTCAATCTTTCACATAAGGTAGAGTAGGTCAGAAAGGTGTGATACAGAGGGAATAGATCTAAACATCTGAGAAAAAGAGATCTACCAGGAAGCCCAGGGGACAATCCAGAACTTCTTGACCTGCTTCCCCTCTTGTACATCCCAGGGTCCCCTGCCAGGGGACTAGTCTTGCATTATATTTCCCTTCTAATTTCTCAGCCAATTCCCAAGAAGCCTAAGATTTGGAAAAATGATGGGTCAATGATTTTAGCCTTCACATTTTTGGATTAACATTCCTGATACAATATATTTTCTTCTGCCTGGAAACTCCTGGGAACAAATTTACAGTGTGACCTGTCCCCTTACCTGAGTATGCACATCATCAAAATAA